GGCTTCTCTGGCAGACAGATATTTTTTTTTATTGTGAAGATACTGTACAGTTACATGAGTAAGGTAATGAGTACATTCCCTTTCAAACATTGTTACCCCCTCCTTTGCTTTTCCTCTACTATCCCTTCCCTCCCTACTTCCCAAACTCCCCACCCCCAACCAAATTGTAAAGTTCGTTTTCAACATCCACTATCATTTTTTATTGAACTTTTTAAGGGAATTTCCAAACTGCTTCCCTTTGCTGGCACTTTTGTTATTTTTCTATCAGACCATTCCATCAGTGTGAGCTTCCAAAACAGAAAATCTGATACCATTTTGTGTTCTTAGGGAATAGTACAAACTCTACCAAGGTTTTGCCACCTACCTTTCCAGCCTTGTTCCTTCAGCTCTTTTCTCCACTTATCCAGTCAGTTATCCATAAGAACTACTCACACATTTTTCTTTCTACCTGGAACTCCCTATCCCTTCTTCCCCAGACCTCGTACTGTATCCTTACTAACTCAACTTAAACATCACTCTTGCAATGGGCTTTTCTGAGCCTTAAGTTAAATCTTCAAGCATCTTGGATGACACCTTGGATATCCATAACATTTGTGTAATTGTCTGTGCTTCTTGTTAGACTGTAAGCTGTGGGCATAGCCAAGCACCATAGCTATTGTATTTATTATCATATATAAAAAAGCTCAGCTAGATTCGTGCTGAGCTCATATAGGTACTCACAATAGTTAATGAATTAGACAAGAAGAAAAGAAGGACAGGAAGAAGAGGAAAGCCAAAAAGAGGAGAAGGAGAGTGGGAAGAAAGGGAAAAAATGTTTTATGGATAGTGACCACAAAGCTCCTAGTGACATTTTGAATAAAGTTAGGAGGCGGAAAAAAGGAAAGTATCAAAATTATTAAGAGATTCAAGAACACTAGCAAGCCCAACCACCTGAAATCAGTCTCCATCATTGCAATCAAAGATGTGAGCATTGAATAGTGAGATCCATAGCCATTTGTTAAATTGGGGTTAAAAAGAGAGACAAATAGGTGTGGTAGGAGGTAATGAGTTCAGTATGAACGTGTGAAACAGAAATTCTGATGACTGGAACAGGCACTCTCAAATGGAGCTTAGGAAAGAGGTGTGAGCCACCTGTGATTACTGAGGCTGGGAGAGAGGGTGAGAGAGAGTTCATAGAACAAGAAGACAGCTGTGGCCAGGGTTCTGGAGACCTTAACATTTCAAGATACAGCCAAAAGCTTCTTTCTGGCAGCTGGGGGTTTCATTCTATATCTGTGAGAAGTTTAAGCTCCTAAATGGTACACTGCTCAAGAATTTGAAAAAGCATGGCTGATTCAGCAATTTCAGAGGTGGGAAAAGAGGAGGAACTCCCTTAGCTTATCAGGACTCACTACATTCAGAAAATCCTTCTCCTTCTGATATGATCATGCATTTGTGATGTTTGCTTTTCTCTAAGATTACCAAATTTAAAACAGCTTTAACCACAGGCATTTTAGTCACTGATTTTATCTATTTAAAATTTTATGTTTATTGCAGAATGCCATTTTAAGCCTACATAGCTGCTGAAGTTGACATGCAAATGTGCAAATAAAATTTTTCTTCTTTGTGCTTCTGTGCTATGCTTGAAATTACTTTTGGCAAGATCCAGTCAGATGTTGAAAGGATTCCTAGAAGGTGAAATGACCCTTTCTTCTCTTGTTAGTGATTTTTATTAGTTTGACATTCAGCTCTGACAACCTTGAATCTTTAGTAGGTGAAATAAATTAAGATAATTCACAAAATTTCTCCTACTTTCATAAGTCTGTACCATACCGCAGTTCTGTTAGTTTTCTGACTAGCTTGATTTGTGTTTTAGGAGGATTTGCATTTTCTTTCTGTATTCACTTATTTGACAAATCTTTATTAAATACATTATTTGTGACAGGTGCTGTACTGGGCTCAGATATAATAATAAGCAAAGCAGAATGCCCCCATGTTCCCTGTCCCTCAGTACATGCACATTTGTATGGTTTGAATAGACAATTACAGAGCCATGGTAGTTTTATTAAAATTTACTAGTTGTGTATACAGTAAAAATACCAGTAGTAGTGCTTACTTCTCTACTAGGCTTCTGCTATTTCTACAAAGCACCACACATTTATCCTACCCACCTGATTATTTGAAGAAAGGTCCAGAGTCCCTATATTAATTTCAAACTGAAAGAAACATAATCCATAATGTAGAGGCTAGAAGAACGAGCATCTGAATATACACACATGAGTTTTAAGTCCTCGCTCCACTATGACTAGCAATATGACTATGAACACCTTGCTTACCTTCTCTGAGCCTTGGATTCTTGATTTGTAAGATTGAAACAAACCCCCCCTTTTTTTTGTTACTCATGGGTCTTGAACTCAGGGCTTGGGCTCTGTCCTTTGAACTCTTTCACTACTGCTGTAAGCCACAGTGCCACTTCCAGTTTTTCTACTGGTTAACTGGAAATAAGAGTCTCATGAACTTTCTTGTCAATTTCTATCTCATGGTCTATCTCAGTAGATAACACATGGTAATGTGTAATACAGAACCTAGCCAACTACAAGATAATAAAGTTATTATTGCCACTGCCTATAACAGAACTTGGCTCTTTATCCGTTCCTAGTCTTTTTACAAAAACTAATTTATAGTAGATTTACCGCCATCATTTGTATTCTACCTGCAAGTGAAAACTTTGAAAC